TCTACCTCTAGTTTACCTCTATATGTTGACGCCACAGCTCAACTTGTCAGATCCGCCCCGAGGACACCGATGTGTTGCTAAATGAGGCCCTGGCGGAGCAGTTGAGAACATTGCCATCAGAACTTCACACGTAGATCCCACTGCAGCGTCCGGGGAGAGACACATTCGAAAAAGAGAGTAAGTGGGCCAAGGAAAGTTGCCGGCTTCGCCCCGAGGATGGGGACTTTTCCTGGTGGAGGCAGGAATGCAAAAAAAAAAAAACTGTCTGTGTTTTGTTGTCTTCCCTTTTGCTTTGGCACACTTTTGATTTGTAGTCCAACAGCTCCCGGCTGATCAGATAAAAAATGACAGGACCCCTTGAAAAAAAAATGTTCCAACCTGTTCCCCCCCCTTCTCTCTCGCTCTCTCTCTCCCGCTCTATGAGGGGAGTTTTGACAAGGAGCCCCTGCAGTCAGAAGTATGCAGACGTGAAGACGGGCAAACTTAAAAAGAGACGCTGAGGAACGCTCAACGTCCCAGTGCGGTGCGTCCGCAGGTGGACACAACAGAGCCTGATCCGTTTGTCTTGACGGGACATAGGCTGTTTGAATGGGAGTCTTTGGGGGGGGGGGGTGGCCGGCTGTGTGAATGAACCCGCAATTCAAACAGTGCATTGTTCCCTGCCACCGCTCATCAGGGGCAGCTTGTTGGCACTGCTGCTTGAATTGTCAGCAGCAATGCATCCCATGCAAATCATAACTTGCAGCGGGATCCTCTGGAATCTTCCGCTGTGTGTGTCTGGAATCTGTGCGTGGCCATTCCCCACCGCAGCGTTGTTGTATTCTTAAAAGCAGCAGGAAACACATGAAATGCTCATGATTTCAGCATGCTGTGGTGATTTACTGGGAAAATTTGCAGTGCGATATTTGGTGTTGAACTCTGTGATCGGAGCTCTGCAGAGATTTTACTTGGCGTCTGTTTGTCAAATCTTATAGAAACCAACTGCCATCCAAGTTGTTGCTTCTCCCTTTTTGCCCTTCGCGCCCCTCAGTAGGTCCGGGAGTCGCACATCAAAACGTAGGCGCGTGCTGAAATATATCGAACTTTAAACACCTGGGCAGATTTGCAGATCTTGTTCACATATTCTTTGACTTTATTATTTATTATGAACTAATTTACTCTGGACTTTCTTGTATGGCCGCTGTTTATGTTTAGAAAATATTTATTGTCAGTTTTTTTTCCATGTGTAAACTGATTGCAGAGAAACCAAACGGCCGTCCTCTCTCCCTTTCCCTCCCCTCACTGCGCCCTGATTGGTGGGCTTGGTTGACCCGGTCACTGACCCTGAGGGCTCCGGCTGAACGTAGGCTGTGCAGGTGCGAGCAACGCGTCTCTGCCGCTGACCCCTGCGTGTCAGAGAAAATGCTTTCTGCTAATAATGAACCTCTGTAAAAGGCTGCAAAGGTGAGATCCAACCAGGTAATGAAGACTTTAAGAACCGTGTGTGTGTGTGTGTGTGTGTGTGTGTATGTGTGTGTGTTTGTCTGCATGCGCACACGCCTCCCCCCCATCTCCCCAGGCGATATCTCTGCCTCTGGCCGTTGGCGTTTTCCCTTTGAGGAGCTGCCCCGGCCGGTGTTTTACTGCGAGCTAATGGCCGTGCACCAGGAGGACTTTGTCATTTCCTCCCAGAGCTCCGCTGTCCCTTTGATAGTGTTTGAAGATTAGAAACTCGTCCTTCGCCTCTGTTGAAATTCCACCCTCCTTTGAACCTCTGAGCGGACGGCGTCGCCCCGCATGCCTGTTGGGTGACGGCGGTCCAGTAAGGCGAGTTGGGCACGTGAGTTGTTGCATTGTGATGGGTAACGTTCTTTTATGATCAGCGTATTAAGGAGGGTTTGTGAAAAAGGGTTACGTGATCATACGTGTTTCGGAGCAATTCTCTTCCTCCATATTTCCTTGTGGATGTCACTTTCTGTTTTTTGTCTTTGTCTCCTTAAATTTGCCCATTTGGCCATTCGCCATCAATGGAACCCAAAAGTTTCATTAGAAATGACATTCTTCTGGACTCTCCTGCTCTTTTCTCTACCTTAAGAATAAAAGCCCAACATCCTTGATCTTTTCACACGAGGCGGCGCAGTGAAAATCATTTAAGTGATCCCCTTTGCCAACGGTCGGGGTTGAAGATTGGATTGAAGATTGGAGGGAGGGGGGGTCACAGTCAGATAATGACATTCCTGAGACCCGGAGATGGACTCCAGAGCCCCATTTAAGCCGCTAAGGTTGATGTGGGACAAGGTCTGTGTGTGGACCGGGCCGTTTGATAAAAATCGAGGCTTTACGCGAGCTCTTGAACACAGCAAACACAAGTCAGGAAGCTGTATTTAGGGATTGTGCATGCTCCAAATTTTAATTAAAGAACGTTGAAATTTATTAACTTTTTTGAAGCTAGATATTAGATTATGTGTAATACCTACACAATTGTTGCTCTGCACGGTTTAAGTTATAGCCTATTTGCTTTTGTTTCACTTGCGCAAACTAAATCAACAGACGATAATTTCCTCATTGACGCTGACTGAGCCTCATTTCTTTATTCATTTCCTCGCCTTTTTGATTTCATAAATACAACAATTTAGAGTAATCCTAAGCATTGAAAAATCTTTGGAAGATCGAAGTAAGAATCTCCCTACTTAAGATTGCAAAATAAATAGTTATCCAGTGTTCAAAGTCTGAAGATGTGTGACTGCAATTAAAAAGTGGGTATGACAGCTTCAAAACGATCGATGCTGATGCTCGTGTCGGAGTAAAATCCGCCAAACTAATTCCTTGCTGAAAATGGCTGTCATCACTCGCTGTTTCTTCAAGGAACGCGAACAACGCCGTCGGCTCAAGCTGATCTGAGAGCAGCTGGAGAGCTGAGGCACAATGCCACAACCTTTATGATGAGAACGGTGTATCGTCTATTGTAGTCCACGATGTTGTTCACAAACGTACGTTCAATGGTGAGACCGAAACACAGCAATAAGTCCAGAGGACAGATCTTTATTTTCCTTGTTAGATAATCGGAGTCTCAGGCTGCCCCGGATAACTTAGTCCCCCCCCCCCGTGTTGTGTAAAACTGCTGTCTCACACGAACATTCTTGCATGCAAAAAAATCCTTGCAATGATCCACTCCGTCTCACCTCCTTTCAAACCCACCTCATTACTTTGCCGGGTGTCTCTGCTGCACCTCAGCTCCCTCCGCACATGTGTGCATATCGGCCTGAGTTATGTCTGCTTGTTCTGTTTTCAACACCCCCGTCTAAAAAATTTTTTTTTAAAAAGGCTGGGCGGCCGGGCATAAAGCAGTCAAAAGCCGCTCTCCCTCGCAACAACCCGCCAATTTACGGCCAAGCGGTCGCCCGAAAGACCGGGAGGCGAGAGGAGCCGATCGGAGCCTTCAGGAGCCTTCCAGAGGGGCCCTCGCCGAAACTCGCCACCCTGCTGGTTTTTGCGATGTCATCGTTGCCGCTGTGTGACACCTATTCCTCAGCACCCACCTGCCGCCGACCCCCCCGTCCCCAACTGCCTGTCCATGTCACCCCCTGGCCCCGCACTTCAAAAATCAGTTCCCCAAATCAAAGGTAGCTGCCCATTGTTGAGGTTTTCGAACATTACACCGGTGTCATGTAAGCTCCTTGAACAGAACAGCTGCGGGTAATTCACACACGCAGAGAGAGAATCCCGGGCTCTTTTGTCGCTGCTGTTTGACAGCTCCTGCTGAAGCCGGGAGCGGGTGTAAAGTCCTCGCTCCCATTAACACTTCAGCCCTGTGGCCTGTGTGCTTGGCAGCTGCCTGCTCTGTAAGTGAAACCAGAAGATGCTGGCGGTTTGGACAGCGCAGAACCCGGGACCACAAGCCAGCCGGGTCCCGCTAAAAGTGCAGTAGCGCTGACAAGTATTGTGTCGCGAGCCAAAAGAGCTTTGTCATACGCCCACCTGAGAAATATCTCCAAAATAGAAGCTTTATGTTAAAAAAGGAGAGCAGGAGGTCAGCTGCATGTGGCTGAATCTTTAATGAGATAAAAAAAAAAACTCTTCATTTCAGTTACTGGTGCCAAAAGCAATCTGGGATCATTTGAGAAAGAATAAAAAAACCCTGCGGCACCTTAACGTATTGTCTCCTAACAAATCCGTAACGGAGGAGGTGGGAGGGGAGGGGGGGGGGGTTGAGAAGCAAAATGGTATGCTTAAAAAAAGCTGATTAATTTAATTGCAGCTGATTGGCCGTGGCATGCCTAGCATTTTTTAGATTTCCCTCCCAAAAAATACTATGCAAGTTTATCTGAGATTGATTTTGTGTTCAATGCATGTCATACATCACCACCCCCCCCATGCACACACACACACACACACTCAAGACAAGACAATTTCAATTCCAAACGGATTGTGGGCCGGCGTCCCGAATGCAGAGCGCTGACGCACAATAGCAAAACAAGTCGTTATTGTTAAAATGATATGGTGGTAAGTAAGAAACTGATTGTGGTGTAGAAACGGGACCTTCTTTGGAAGCTTTGTTGGGTTTTGCTGAGCGACGTGAGCACTGTCATCGTCCTGAAGCGCTATCCACAATTTACGTAATGAACTCAGATCTCGCTGACTTACACTGTCGTGGGGAACTGACCCCTCACAGCGCTGTTCGATATCATCATGGCAAACATTTATTCTAATTTTTAAATAAGAATACAATTTTGAATCATTCAGCGGCTCCCAAATAATAAAACAAATAGCCTCCTTCTTTGCATCACAAAACACGCGATGTGATAAATGGACCTGAGTGTGGATCGGGGAAAGAACGGGAGCCTTTTCCGTTACACTAGTATTTGAGGTTAAGATTCTTTGGCCTGGGCCGGAGAACATTTTTCCACGCAGTCAACTGAAAGTGCACATTGTGCCCTCTCAAAAATAATCATTTGACCAAAAAAAAAAAAAAACCTCTCCCTGTACAGGCCCTGATGCTGAAACTGCGGATTTGTACTCACCACCAGATGGGATAGCCTCCAAGCACCCGCGAGCTGGACAGCCACACACACATCAAATATCCAATCTGATACAAATCCATGAGGTAAGCCTGGCGGTGTCGGTGTGTGTGTGTGTGTGTGTGAGAGGGTTAAAAAAAACAACCCAAAAACGGATCAATAAATAGAAGTTCCAGCAGGCAGCGGAGAAGAGTTTTCCAGGAAAGGAGGCGCTTTAGGGCAGCTTGATTGTTGAATGGGGGGGAGATTTATAATGATATGGGAACAAAAATTAAGAAAAGATTCTCCCTCCAGTTTCCCCCCCTTTCTTTGAGTCGGGCCAGGACCCGTTTGGTCGGTCTCCTAGTAGTCAAGAGAGTGTCTCTCACACACTTGCACACACGCTCCTACTAGTCCTCTCCTTCCCTCCCTCTCTCTGAGCTTCTTCCCTAAGGTAGATGTCTTTTTCTCTCTCTCTCTCTCCCTCTGGATGCCTCATCCACAGGCCCAATATTAAATGGGAGGGGGGGGGGTTTGGAGATGTCAGCTGGCAAGCCAATCACAGAAGATGGCCTTAGGTTACGAAAAAAAAAAATTATTATTCGTTCCCATCTGTCAATCACACGCCACCCCCTGGTAATGTGGAAAAGAAAGGAAAGAGTGAAAAGAGGGGAGGCAGGGAAATGAGAGAGAGGGAGGGAGGGAGGGAGGGACGCGCCAAGAAAAGGTAGAGTAGAGGTGTTACTCAACTTGCTTCATGTGATCATTGAAGGGGAAAAGTCCCTCTGTTTGGGTAGGTGAAGGGATGAAAGCCAGAGGGGGGGGGGGCGCCCGGCCGTAATGTTGACACATTGATTTTTTTTTTTGAGGGGTTGTGCCCTGACTAATTGATCCCGGATATACATAAAATACTGCGCACACACGCACAACCTACGGCCCTGCTCGCGGAGGACGTACATTAGGTGAATTTTCTGAATTGTTGTCCGCCCGGGGGGGGCGCATATAAAGGGACACAATAAAGCCATAAACCGCGGCAGGGCCAGGCATGCAGGGCCTGTGTGCTCTCCGGCGGCCCAAAGGCGACACATTTTTTACATCGGCACTATTGTCATTGTGATGGTGTGGGGCTGTGGGGCGAGGGACGGCGGGGTGGGAGGGGGGCCGGAGAGGCTTTGACCGAGGAGGGCGTGACACTCGCGATGGACTTAGCTTGGAGTTTACCGGCACCTTGGATTCTCTCACACAAGGAAGGTGATGCGAAGGGGAGAGAGAGGAGACTCGCTGGTGGTCGATGGCCATCTAGTGAGGGGGTGTCAGTCAGGGGAGGGGGCACCAGAGACCCCTTCATCGCTGTATAAAGTTCACACTTCACTCAGCATGCGGTTTGAGAACAGGGAGAAGTGTTGTGAGTGTCCTCAGGTCGTCGTTCCTGAGGTTGTGACGCGAGTTTGAGCACAGAGGTAGTTTTTAATTTTCTTCTTGTGGTTACGACGCTTGAAGGGCTTTTTGAAAACATTGTTTTTAAAGGTTTGACTCATCACTGAACGCATTGGAAGCGTGTTTAGAAGTAACTGCAGCGGATGGATTACCGGATGCACCTCACGTCATGTCGAGGGCCTTTAGTGCTCATCGTACATCTTTATTGGTTTCCTTCTGAGTCAAGGCAATTTGAATACCACATTTTCGATGCTGTTGTTAAATATAAAACTTGTAAACTAATTTACATATTTTTCGTTTTCTAGTTTTAAAGGCTGCATAACATTGACGTGATGTAATATGCAGAATTGTATTATTTTTCTTTACCCACGTAGTCATTACAGCCGCATTACTTAACAAAATTTGAATGAATATTTAGTTAAAGGTCATTGAGATATTTGTTCCAAAATGTAATTTTTTGTCCCTTTTTTTTAATTGATTTTAAAGCTTCTGCTTCATTGAGACTTACTGCTGTTATTTGTTAAATAAAGACGGATTTGGCTTAAGATCCAATTTCCACACTGACAGACCTACAACTGCAATCTCCTCCAGAATTTTAATATTGTGATGGTAAAACATCTCTGTTGGCTGTTTGTTTTAGGGCGGGGGGGGGGTTGCAATAGAAGGACTGAGGGGGCTGGAAGGTCGCTCCGCAGGGGCCGGGAGGCTCCAGTGGCCGCCGCAGGGAGAGAGCGCACTGGCCGCAGTCTGTGGGTCAGTACGTCCTTCACCCGCCCCTTCTGTGTTTTATTCCTCCGTGACAAAGAAGATCGGGAAACAGGCTGTGACCGAGCGGCACTCGACCTCCCCTCCCCGTATGAGAGGAAGGTGTGTGTGGAGGGGGAGGAGGGGGGGGGTCCGCCGAGCCTCTAAGTGTGACAATACTTGATAGATGTCGACACTCGATGTCTACCAACGAGTGTTGTTGTCTTTGCGATGCCTGGACCCATGCGCGCGGACGCGCCGCATCCCATCACCGACGTTGTCGCGTGTTACGGCATCGCCAGCAATGTGCCGAGCTCAGCGCCGGCTGTAATTCATGAGTGCAGGCGAAAGGAATCCGTCTGCATCTGAACAATGTTGAGAGAGAGAGAAAAGGCGGTTTTAAGGTCAAGAACATTTGGAAGCCGATCCTGAAACAACGACAAAACGTCTGCAGAGAGAAATTTGCGTGTCTGCAGGAGGAGGTTGGGAGGGAGGGAGGGCGTGTGTGTGTGTGTGTGTGTGTGTGTGTGTTGAGGGTGAAGGGGGGGGGGGCCAAAAAACAAAACCCCCCAGCTTTTTCTCCCCGGGCGGTTTTTTCGGGTGACCTGAAAAAGCCCGAAAAAAGTTCCGGTTTTTTTCCAGGCCTATTCAGGGTACCCCCACAAACCGGGAAATGTTTTGGCCCCCCCCCCCTTTTCAACTCCCCCCCCTCAATCCGATGGGCAGGGGGGGCCCCGGGCCACCCAAAAAACCCAGGTTTGGGGGGGTTCCCGCACACCCGGGGGGTGTAGAAAAAAATTTTTGGAACCCCCCCCCCCCCCCCCCCCCCCCCCCCTCCCTGCTCTTCTTTTAATCCCTCTCGCTCCTTCATCGTACACTTTATTTCGCCTGCTCCCGTGTTTACATCCCACCCTTCGCCTCCTCCCTTTTCAGAACCCTCACTCTGTAAAGCTCTTTACACAAAAGAGGGGAGGGGGGGGGGTAAAATCCCAAAAATTACTAATTTATCCCGAGCAGCCGCAAATTCACCGGCTATTTATCCATGAATCCATGAATGAATTAATGTCAATTCACGCTCCTCCACTTAAAGTGCAAAAAAATTGGGAAATTTCCCATTCGAGGTTTCACCACCGCTGCTGCCTCCGTCCGAAGTGATGGATTGATGCTCGATAACGCCGATCGTTTAAAATAAAACGGTGCCTGCACAGAAAGCGCGGTGTGTTCACCGCCACCACTTGGCGCGGCGACGCTTTGGAGGTCGCTGGCCCAGAGACCGCCGCCTCACCTCAGAGTCCTCGCTAATGTGTCCTGGAAATGGGAGAGTGTCGGGGATAATATCGACGCCTTTGTCAGGCCTTTTTAAGACTGCGCACAAAGACGACAAGGAGTCCCCCCCCCGCCCCACAATAAACCTTTTTTCATTAGAGCAGCAAACACTTCATCCATCGGCTGTGTGACGGGAAGCTCTGTGAGCCGCTCAGCGAGGTCCCACAGGGGGAAAGAGCCTAAAACCCCTCAGCGGCCTTCAGCCGGACACCGAGGCGGCCTAATTAAAGGGCACTTAAGCCCCACAATGTGCGGCGGCGCAGGTTGGAGCCGGTGGGGGTCCACCGCCCGAGAGGGACAGAATTCATGGCACTCGTAAACAAGGGGAGTCCGGGACAGGGGGACAGAGGAGGACTATGTGCCTGAGACTTTGTTCACACAAGATGAAGAGTCAACAGCCTCCCCGTTCCTCACCCCTCCTGGGCCATCCCCCCTAATAAGCACCTTCTTCAGAGGAGCTGCAAACACAATGCCGTCCCACTCCCCTCCTCTCGCTCTCAATCACTGTTGGGACAATGAGCGGGTCGGGGGGGGACACCACCACCGCCACCACCTCCATCCTTCTGCCCCTCCCTACCCCCAAACAGACACTTCTTTTATTGAAATTCTTTGGTGTTCTAATCCTCCGCTTCCTCCGGGGGCAATAATGGACTCCCTGCGTCAGCCTTTTCCAGCGGGGCTATCATCCAAGCCTGCCTGGGTCACAAGTCCACCTCTCCAGCTCATGCGCTCCTCCGCGGGCCAACGCCAGCCCCCGCCAGCCCCCGCGCCACCGGCCGCCTATTTTGTATAATCAAGTGTTATTCTCGAGAGCGGTGTTTCCCAACATTATCTCCATAAAACCATCAAACCGTGTGAATTCACGTTCTTTGCTGGCATTTGCTCATCCTCTTATGTTATGCCGACTAGATAAACACGACATCTTGAAGAGATAAATGTGGCCGGTGCTCCGTAACACCAGGAAACTGGGAGAAAGCCAAGAAAGATTATCGTATATCTTACCCTTGTTAGATTTACAGATCAAGGTGGGATATTTTTTTTTCAGAAATATTTATGAGCTTTGTTGAATTAAATAAATAATCTTTCTTAGCTTCACTGCATGTTAATTCATCTCTTCGCCTCTCATGGGGTTTACCAAGATTACAGATATCTGTGGGAAGTGCTGGAATTTATTATAAATTACAAGTAAACAGCAGCTAATACGAGTGAAAGATGCACAATAAATGCTCCATATGATACGGTATATTTAGACAGTCTTATTAACCTACATGATAGTAGAACTACTCACCCTGCATTACTCCACCACAAACCACAGTTCAACCAAAATATGTTTTCAGTATCAATTATTATAAGCAAAGGCACACCGTCACATCACCAACATTGAATCCTCACTACACAGCGATGTAGATACTTTGTTTGCACTTAAACGTTTGTAGACGGTGACACCTGCTGGTCAAACCCCATCAGGGTGTCCGCTCTTCTTGCGCTTTCCGTCTAAAAAGAACTTCATCGGAGAATAGGTGACTCCGGGTTGATTGATCTCTTCTCTCAGCATCAAGATTGAGCGCTGGTTATCCTGCAAGTTGCTTCATAAATACATCAACCAGAAAAGGCCAGAAAATCTTTGTTTCCCATAGCTTGTATGGTTCTATAACATCTATTTTCTATACATTTGTAAGTTACTACATGAGTACCATTACGTTATTAAGAATAAATCCAGGTGTAGGGTTTCTGACGGACAATTTCTTATTGCTGAATGTAAACAATGTACTGGTGTTGTTGGTTCTATCAAGGATATAGGTATCGTCTGAAAGGTTTATCCAAAGTGTACAGAAATGAAGTCTATGTACCTGAACATTTATTGTGTGGGAAACAGACAGCAATATTCATATTTTATTTTACTACTGGAAACCAAAGGTTCCTTGTAGATCGGGTTCTCGGGTCTCGTTTTACCTGCTTATGCATTCAGTGTGTAAAACCTACTTGTAAAAAATATCCAGATGACAACCTGTCAATGTGACATGTGGATGCGTCACCTTCCCGCACTCCCTTCCCACCCACCTTCTGCGGTATTTTTCAACGTTGTGTATTTGGCCATTGTTCTGGTGCCAGCGATGATCTCACAGCTCTGTCGTGCACAGTTCACATATGAACAGAGCTCTTGGTTTACAAAGCTAACACGGCTGAAGTACCCGAGGCCACAAGTGCTCTGTCGGGCCACCGAACCAGTCTCATGCCACTCATTGCAGGGATGCCCTTAGAAACAGTGGGTGTCATGTGACATTGCAAACCAGTAGAACACAGCTGACCCCTTTGGGCCTTCGGGCTGCTATGGGCCTAAATTAGTGTCTAGGGAGGGGAGAACATGACACTGTTGATCTTTTGAGTTTAGGGCCAGGCTATTGGCCTCAGCTATGTCTCCTTTCTACCTGGATCCATTGGTATTTGCTTTGTACTTTGAACCAGAGAGACAGCAGAGCCATTGGCTGTTTTAATTCAACATAAATGGCATCTGAAGAACCGTGATCCACACATTGGCATGACGGTGGGTCGGCTGAAACAATTGCCCAGACACTAATATATCAGATGTATTGCTATCAAATTGTCATAAACATGTGGGTTTCCTCTAAGGAAGGAAGCCCACATACTTTGATGATTGTCTGACCTAATCTTTAAGGGCACCATGACGTTGACATATGTTTGCAGAGACATGTCCACAATTGAAGGATCTCCTAAGAGATTGCTGTACTTAATCAAGTATCATCAATGTGTTTGCAATGTATTATATTGTATGTGTATCAGTGCGGTAAAAACTCCTAAACATAGGACTTTATTTTTTTAAATATATTTATATATGTAGTTTTTATATCTAGCTTCAAAAGTCAATCAAAAACATTTTTCAAATTTTTAATTTATATTACGTAGTTATCATTTCCATGTATATAGATTTCTCGGTGTTTATTTATTAGCATTTTAGAAAAACTGTATATGCATACAAGTGTGTGTGTGTGTGTGTGTGTGTGTGTGTGTGTGTGTATATATATCCATCCATCCATTGTCAAACCGCTTATCCTGCACACAGGGTCGCGGGGGGTCTGGAGTCCATCCCAGCCAACTTCGGGCGATATATATATATATATATATATATATATATATATATATATATATATAAATTACTCCCGCCTCCGCTATGACGTTGAATTGGGGGCGGAGCGGGATCGACTGTCTGTAAAAAATGCGTTAGACGCCAATAGGCCAGCCTTGCCCACGTGACACGCAGCAGCCAATAAGACCAGGAAGAGAAGCGCAGCCTCATACTCGGGCCGTGCAAACGAATAGCGGTTACGTGACGTCATGAGCCGTGCTGTGTTGTCACCAGCTGTTGTCTGGAACACGAAGGGGAAAAAGTGGCCGTTTCGACACGAGCGCACCGACATACACGTACACGCACACAAACACGCGCGAACCCGCGGCGCACAGCTGCGCGCTTCCGAGCCGAAAGACGGTACCGGATGACCGGCGGAGAGCAGCGGAGGCTCTACAGTCTGCCGGTGCTGGTAGCCGTTACGTAACCGAAGGCATTGATGAGACGACGGTGATAACGCACCAGGGGCGATACAGGTCGGAGTTGAAGACATTGCCCCCACTCTGCTGTGAGTATACATGTTTATTTCCCCACGTATATGTATATGCATGGAGGTATATAGATATATGTGAGTACTTGTGTCTACATAGTTTCTCCAGTCCACTTGTAGGTCTTTGTAGCCACGTTAAGGGTCATTATGCAGCCATGAGGCAATCGTACAAGAATGACCAGGCTCTACATTGTTCACTGTGGGCACTCACTTGCTCTTGAGCAGCCAGATAGGGACTTGTATGCAGTTTTTCTTACTTTTAAAACAATTAAAATCTTACAACTACAATTAAAACCGTAGTTACACGTTTAACTCAGTTTATTACGTGGTCATAGAAAATGCTACTTTCTGATTGGCTGGCCGGTGCCCGTTAAAAAAGAAGCCCAAAGGACTTTTACGAGCGCAACTTTGGTCACTGTCACTATATATTGAAAATACTTTACTGATGAAAATCTATTTTCCTAAAGTGACCAGATTATTCTAACTGAGCACCTTGGGTAAATACTACATTTAATTAAAGTCGGACACTTTGTCCATGAATGTTAGTCCTGGCTGATCAAGTTAGTTCTCTCTCTGTTTATCTCACAGCAGACTCCGTGTGGGTTCAACCCCATCTGGCCACGTCGTGCTGAGCAGGAGGAGTTCTCCGCCAGGCTAAGCGCCATCACCGCTGTCGCCATGAACGTGGGCACGGCGCACAGCGAGGTGAACCCCAACACCCGCGTGATGAACAGCAGGGGCATGTGGCTGTCCTACATCCTGGGCATCGGCCTGCTGCACGTCATCCTGCTCAGCGTCCCCTTCGCCAGCGTCCCCGCGGTCTGGACCCTCACCAACCTCATCCACAACCTGGTCAGTGGGCATCGCGGCCCCTTGTCTTTAATACACGTCCTCTGAAAGTGCTTATTTTCTCAGCTGACGGACTCAGATTGTTTCTGATAATATTACGGGAGAGGCCCCGCGGAGGAACGATGTGTATTTCTTTACCTTTTCGCTTGAGCCGGCCTGGTTGGTTGACTCTGAATTCTCTCAGCATCAAAATCATCGAAATATTGTTGTAGGGTGTATGTATTTTAGATTACACACTCTACGCTTACTGTTCCCCAGCACGAAAAATCAGTATTTTCCGACAACATGTCACGTTACACAATAAGAAACAAACAAGCAAAGGTAAAGAATCCGGTATAATTTCTTTCCAGGGTTCTGTTCATAATGGTTTCATAGTAGTGTAGTATCGGATTGCCTTTTGGCCACTTTGTAAGTTAACACAAGCAATAATTGTATCTCTGACTGCTTGTGTTGTCTCTGCGTCGCAGTGCATGTACCTCCTGCTTCACGCGGTCAAGGGGACGCCCTTTGAGACCCCGGATCAGGGCAAGGCTCGCCTCATGACATACTGGGAGCAGATGGACTACGGCGTGCAGTTCACGGCCTCGCGCAAGTTCCTCACCATCACACCGATTGTCCTGTAAGTGAACCCGAAGCTCTGCCTTTCGTTGGGGTGACGGATGGAAGGGGGCAGCTTTTTGTACCGGACGGATCTACATTTGAATACAGAAATCTGGTTGAGAAACTAAACCTAGTAATAGGCCAGGTGTAGACCCACCAACAACAAGATTCCCCGTTTGCTTCCCATCCACCAGCAGCACCATTGATCTGAACATTTAACAAGTGCCGGCCACGTCAACCCTTTGCTCTCTTTCTGCTTTCCCCTCCTCTCTCCTCCGCATTTTAAACAGCAGAGTTCAGCTTACAGGAAGCGCTCTGGTTCCCCGGGGGTTGATTCGCCAGCTCAGCATGAACTCAGTAACGGAAGCTGTTTTTTTAGTTTTTTTTTTACCAGGTGCAGATCCAGGCTTTAGTTTCCTCCCCATAAGGCGTTTGCTTTTAGCATCTAGAGCCAGCAGCTCAGTGGTCAAGTCTCTCGGCTCCAGAACGGAAAAAGCTACACATGTGTGAGAGCCTCTAGAGAGCCTCCATCACTCATCACGTGTCCTCGCTTGTTCGGCAGAGAACAGGACGTGCAATCCCTTTCTTTTTTTTTTTTTTCCTGAGCTCACCAAAGCCCCTCGGCGCCGTTTCGGCCAACAACAAAAAAAAATTGGCGTAGTTTCCTGTCGCTTCTCTTGTCTCGCCAGGAACATCTGTGCACCCTTGCGCCGGCCTGCGGCAAACATCGGGGCTTGTTCATAAACAAGCTTTGCAGGAACATAGCAGAATCATTTGTGCCTATTTCTGTGCCAATGAATCATGTCGCAACGCTGTTGTTCAGCGTGTGGAAATAGACCTGAGTGCTGGCGCTGTGTGAGTTATGAGTGAGGAAACTTCTTGTGAAAGATTATTGCGAGCTGAAAAGGGGAACAAAAGGCCATTTTTGTTATCTGGACTCCACATAACTTGATGGGGGGAAAAGAGCCTGACCTTGTCCCGCGTGCGCCTGAATCTTGGCGGTGAACAGCAACCGCCTGCTGGTGGCTAGAAAATTAACCACATTTTAAACTTTAGATAAACATGCGTGTCTCTTTCTGCATCTATTCAATGTTAATAAACACTTATAAGGAAGGGACGCTGTGCCTCCTCCACGAGTCCCATTTTATGCGAGTGCACACATTATCTACTATGTGTATTATTCCTACAGGTTATTTTACAAAATGCCAAAATGAATGCATCCTTCCCTTGTGATCGTGACTTCTGATCCTCTCATTTCCCTCTGATCCAGGTACATACTGACCAGCTTCTACACCAAATACGACCGGGCCCATTTCGTGGTCAACACGCTCTCCTTGCTCACGGTGCTCATCCCCAAGCTGCCCCAGCTGCACGGCGTGAGGATCTTTGGGATTAATAAGTACTGATGCACTGCCCCCTCTACGCCGACTAGCCGGGCGCACGTCAACAGTATTCAGATTTTTGGATATTTGTGGCTCCGCGCCTTGCTGAGCGGCGCTCTGCCTGAAGCCCACTGGGGACACTGCCATGGTACCGAACCCCCGGGGAAGGACTCACAACGCACACTGCGGGAGGGTGGGCTCTCCTTGCTCACAGACACTTTGAAGAAGAAGAAGAAGAAAAGGGATTTTTTGCTGTGTGCGTCGGAGGGAGACGTCGCACACGCACTCACGTGCCATTTCACACCCGAGGCTGTAATCAGAAGTTATTTTCTCTCTAAGGACACGCTGCTGTATTTATTCAGCCGACGTCCACGCCAAGCTTCCTCTTTCTCGAAGTTTGCGTGGAGGAGCAAGACAATACTTTAATGACATAATGGAGGGGGCAAGACGCGAGACACCCACACGGTTCTATATTTAGAGGCGCTTTGTATCAGAATCTGACCACTTCCATACTTGGACTGCTCTTGTCCTGGTTTGCGTCTGCAGGCCCGTCTGTGAGGGAAGAAATGAGCAAGAGCACTCTGCTGGTGCGGCGTGGCGGCTTGTCAGTAAAAGGACTCTCGGTTTGACATCTGGGAATGTGAGTTACGCAGAGCCGCTAATGTTCCTTTCACCCTCATTTACACATGTTTTGATTGGGCTCAGATGTTTAAATTCTCCCTCTTCAGCGTGTTGGTGGGATTTAGGATCCATGGAAACTGCAGTTATACAGTAGCATGTACTGAAGGGATTTATGTCACCGGCTGCTTTGTATTAGAGTAAGAATATCTGATGGTAATATAGTTATTGTTCATTTTTAGAAAAATGTTTCATCCAGTGCTTCTGTACCATCTTATTTCGAGCAGATTCCCTGAAGCAGTTCTCCTCTTGAATCTGAATGTTGATGTAATAATATTAAAGGGGAAATATGACGTTCGGGTTCACGCTTGTATTTTGGGTTTGTACTAAATAGAACATGTTTATATGCCTAAATGCTGGAAAAGACAATATCCTTGGCACGCTGTCTGTGGATGTACCTGTAATCATCCTCTGATTGTAACGCTCTGTTTTAGCGCCCGGCTGACTTTTACAGAGGTGGTTCTTGAAGGTGGAGCCACTATAACGAAAGCATCAGTTTATTCCAATCATTTTCATTGATGGAGGTGGATCACGGGAAAAATTTGTATGGAATTGTAGGGAAACTACAGTTTTATTTATTCATGATATGTGATCTTTCTCCAACGAAAAGAAAAAACGCTAAATGTAGAAAACCTCAGAATGTTTTTAAAATATGTTGCTGCTGTCGTGATAAGCAAAACGAGGTTGAAGGTCTTCTTTCTTTAGTTGGAACAGATCGTGAACAGATTTTCAAACACAAGTTGTAGTTGTCATAGTAGCAGAAATATTAATATTACTGCCGGGGGACTGTCAGAAGTAGTGAAAGGGAAAATATGAGTCATCTTTTGTGTAAGACAAAGAACATTAAACTCAATTATGGTGAAATATGAAATATCGCTAAACCTTAATTAGCTCTGTTGTTGTATTTTAGAAGATTGGTGTTTTAAATTGGCTGAATTTCACTATTTATTTAGTTATTTTACTTTTTAAGGACCGTTTACTCTCTTGGAAGACGGTTGAACTGAACGTTGAAACGTGACACGATGTCACAATGTCTCTTAGAAGGAAATGTTGATCTTCTGTCTCACCCAAAATAGTCATTCAGTCAAATAGCATCAGCTCAAAGCCTGTTTATGTGTTTGTGCTGTTGTCATGTCGGATTGAATTAATAGTTAGTTAGTTAAATGAACAAAGCTCATTGGCTAGATGTTCTTAATCTAAACGTTTAGGCTTTAATTAGACCCCAAAGTGTTATGAGAGTTCAGCTGTCTTACATTTCCTGAGATACCTCTCGGTATAGTCCAGCTTCCATTTAACTGTTACAGCGGCGAGCCTCTTTTATTTCACACCGGTTGCCTCGCAGTGGAGCGGAGACTCGTCTCAAAGCCGGCGGCTTCACTCAATCCACTTTCATCCCGACGCTGCGAGCTGATACAGGCGCTCTCTCTGCGTCACGCAACACCGCAGGCTCGTTTAAACATTGATTAAGTGAAAGTAGTGATGAGGTCGGGTGTTTGAATTGATTTCATATTCATGTTCCCGAGGAAGGCCGACGTGACAACTGCTTGTTCTGTATGTGACAGCAGTCAGTGTTTAAAAGAACCCTTCTGACTCTAATGTTGATGTTAATGAATAATTATTCAATATTACAAGTTACACAAAGGCGTTCACATAAAACACATCGCAGCCTTGTACATTGTTGTGCACCTTTTATTACCCTTAATAAGTCAACTGAATTGGATATTGTTGCTGTTGGACAAGAAACAATTGTTTAAAAATGTAAATATATATTTGAACTCTGAGAAAATCCTCCACGAAAACTCTTAGAATTGAAAATGTGATGTTTAATTTAATGGGTATAGCTTGAAGGAATTTATGAGAAAGGCAACATTGCTTTTCTCTGTTGGGGTTTCTATCTATATAAGAAGCACGCAAAGGACTGAGAGGCATGTTTGTGGAATGATCGCTATTAAATTACAATTTATAATTGAAAGGATTTCCAGCCTGATAACTTTTATCCTCCGGGTGCATTCGCAAAATGTTTGGGTTTTCATATTCTTGTTTGAGCTTTATGAGGCCGGCGCCTCGGGGAGGATGTGGATTTGTGAAAGTGAGTTCATCGTCTAATTAGCTGAATTATGTCCTGTGCGGATAACAACGCATTCTATTCAGCGCTCGTATTACTCTCTGTAAAAGTTAAACATGAGCTGGTTCCTAAACGTAGATAAAGCAAAACAAAGCAGCCCTCTCCAGCAGAGGGCAGCAGACGGCTGTCGTCGACCTCAATGTGAAGCAGCACCCCCCCCTTATAAGTAGGACCTGGTCTGGGGGTGGATTAGTGGTCTCTTTTCTCTCTCTCATCTTTGTGTCCACAGGTTTTCTCATTCACTCCTGTGTGCTCCTCCACATGCACAACGCCGTGCACGTCACCGGAACAGACCCCAACCCCCCCCCCAAAACACCAGACATGCTGATATGCAAAAAGGATACGTAAAAATGTGTACATGATGTGTACTTTTAGCAGTTACTTCTCATTTCTACAGTCTATTTATGCAGGAGGAGTGTTAGAAAACACTCAGCATCAGATATTCTAGTAATGATGATGAATTTAAATATTTTTAACCTGATCAATCTTTTTGGTGTTATCGTTTAAATGGTTTTCTTTTTTATATCCCATAAAATCAACTTTTAGGGTTTTGCATGACCTCAACTAGGAGCAAAGTACTTTTCTACATCCCTCATACGGGTACTTCTACTTAAGAACTCGATCTCGCTTCTTCCACCGCTGGTCGTGCAGATGTGCAGCTGACGTGGAGCGACTGCGTGGGTTCAGACGGGAAGAGCCGCTGAGCGGGATGCGGCTCGAATATGAATAGAACCACACAACAGTGGGATCAATTAATCATGAGCGCGGATGCTGCGGGTTGAACTGGTGGACTCTTCTTAAGGTGGCAGCAGGGACGTCCCGTGAGGCTCGTGTGAAGTAGGTTAGACCTGTGAGAGGCAGACGGGGTTGAAGACACGACTGTCCACGGCGGGCTTTTCGCTGTACCCTCAAAACGTCGAGCCGAGCTGGAACTCTCATCTCTTGCTGGAACATTACAGACAAAATCTGATTTGTTTCGGGGAACCAATAAATAAAACGAGGAGGGAAAATACCTTCACAGGGTTTAACTGGCTGTAGATGTCTGTAGTGACGGGGACGCGCTTGTGCTTAATTGTAACGTGTATTATGTTTAAAAAGACAGTTAGGATCCAAACAGTAATCTTCTCTTGAAAGGTTAAAGCTCTTCGTAACTTTCCAAAGACCTCTCGCTTTATATACTTACTCTCTTAACTCTGTTCACACGCAGGCCTCTGAAGTTCGGCGGTTTCCCCCGTCGCCATCTTGGATTACGGCCCCTCGCCATGTTTTTTTATGCAGTCAGAGCCTGCTGAGTCTCTCGTGGAGATCCGACTGTTTTGAGGAGAAAAGCGCTTTTGCAGATGAGACGACGGTCGAGGCCGACACCTTCAAATGAAGAAAAGCTTTCTAGAATCGTCTGCCCAGTGGGCGGAGCCAGAAAACCGATTGGCGCCCCCCACAGGGAACATGAATATTCATACACCGCTCCGGTTTTTACGTTATTAACACTCCTTCCACCCCCCGATCATAAGATTTATGATTACTTCGGTGACATCCGTAGTTTAAATACAGCGGCGTGCAATTTATATGCGCCGCGGCAGCGTCGCTTATAAATGAAGAGGACGTTCCAGAAATGCAGCCATGAATAAAACACATCCGCGCTAAAGAGACGGGGCCTAATTAGCTTTCGCTCCGCTGCTATTTAGCGGGGCTCTGTCGGTTATTACGCCACGACTCAATCGGAACACTCTTAATTAATTACCTGAGGCTTGCTGAGCATTTAGTGCTGGCTTTGAGTTATTTTACGTGTTCTGCCTCCCCCCCCCCCCCGTGCTGTTAGCTTCTGTGTGGTTTTATTGTCTCACTTTGTGTGAGTGCACAGTGAGGGGGGGAGAGAATGGGGGAGGGGGGCCGCGCGGGAAAACACGTCTTTACTGTAAACTTCAACTTGAAGCTTGACAAGCCCGGCAACAGGAACTAAGCAGCGCGATGGCTGATTGATCATATTGACTAAATATCTTTGAAATGTCATCATTATTTAGATTAAAACAAATATTTATGTGCAATATAGCTGAAGAACAACCGACAGACATGAACCGAGAGGAAAATAAATTGATTTTATTTCACCAAATGCTTTAAAATGCATTTTAAAGGATGTAATAGTGTCTGCGCCTCAACTCATTCTGGATATGTGGCTTTATGCTGTACACAATTTGGTGGATGATGAATAGACGTAGATAGAATATATGTTTGTATCTCGTACCGCTAGTGTTGAATACATGTGGTGTTTCTGGTAATTAAAGATTTCTCCGAGGCGTGAGGCGAATTCGGATTTCTCACTCCAGTTACCGGCAGCTCCTGAAGGATGATTTCATCTGCTTCCCCACAGACACAATTACTCCCCCACGACTCGAGGACAAAAGCTCACAGTGTCGGACATTTCCGAGGTGAGAGGAAGACGCACGACACACGGCTGTTACATATGTCTTTCAGACTGACGCGGTTGTATCCATCTGACCGTATAGTCACTTTTTAATCTCCTTTAGTGTTCTGGGTGGAGAACAACACATCTATCAAATCAGGCCGAGCGTGCTCGATTTCACTCAGGGGTGGAAGAAGTACTCCGTGCGTTTGCTTGAGTAGAATGAAGAATCCCACAAAGGTAGAAATACTCAGTTGCGGTAAAAGTATTTGCTCCAAAATAGATTGGGAGTATTCATTTTTCAGCAGCCCCTTTTGTCATTTTTTAATTCAGATTTTATTCATTGGTGAGTTAATGGGTAAATATCAGTAACATTTTAGTTAGTTATGGTGGGGCTGCTTTTATTATATGTATTTTATATATTTTAGTCATTGCTGCTGCTGGAAAGCTAGTGAATTTTATGGGGGAATTATAGTTTAATTGTTGATTATTATGTTGTGTTCTCAGTCTGAAGCAACAGAAGTTATCAGATACATTTAGTGGTGAAAGAAAATATTTTCCTTTGTGTTGTAGCGGAAGAGACAAAGTTACAGTAAAAGGAAATACTTAAGTATGTATAGCCAGGGTAAGAGAACACGGCCTAAATGTCCCCATTCGATTCATCACATAAAAACACTGGCTTCTCCTCTTTCCGTTTAATTACAATTACACATTACAGAAAGACGAAAGTCGACTTGGTTCTTTATTCCACAGAACTGACTTTCCCCCACAGTGCAGATGTGTGTGCGTGTGTGTGTGTGTGTGTGTGTGTGTGTGTGTGTGTGTGTGTGTGTGTGTGTGTGTGCCTTTTAATCAACACACTAAACTTGCTTCCCAGCAGCGGTGCCACACAGTCTCATCACATCCTATTACTCGCAGCGTGTGATCTATTTCTCAGAGTCTGCAGCCTTGAATGTCAATTATTTAACTTAAATCATTCTCAATAATGTGCAATACAATGCACTGTTTAATATTGACATTGAATCTCAATCGCTTTGCGTTGAATGACAAAAGTTCAGGGCTCCTCTTCAATGGCTGATTATGCTGAATATTCATATTTTAGTCCACAGTGTGCTTCCCTTTTTAAATCAAACCGCCCGAGCGCTCAATCCCTTCAACATCAAATCGAATGCGTCTTCTCTCAGTCGCGTTGACGGCTGCTGCCGGAGGCCATGTAAGTTCTATAAATAATTAGAGGAGACACTTTAAACTTTGGCCAATTATTGCTTTCAAAGGCTTTCATAATAAAGTGTGTATATGCACAACGAAATATAATCCAATTATTTAAACTCTAAACTTTATACAGACATTCAATCACTCAAACGTGTAAAAAGTGTAATTTAAGGGGACATCGGCTCAGGCTGTAATTAAAATCAAACGCACCCGTCTCCCGTTGATTGCCGTTGTAACTGCGACGTCTGCGGTTTTCTGGTGAGTAGCGTCTTCACACGTAAGCTGTCCCCCTCCTAAGTCTGATATGCTGCTTCGGAACGTGTTTGCGGACAGAATAATAAACCTTTCTCCGGGCTTTTCCCGCGCAAACGACGGGATAGGGGAAAATATGGCGGCTGCTCGGGTAACTAGCTAACGTTAGCCTTACTTCAATTAGCAAAGCTAGCCGCTATGCTAGTTAAATACCATTGAGTCAACCTGAATCTATTAGCACGCTGAATCATTAGCTAACCTCACGTAGCTTAGTAAAAGAGGCTATTTAGAAACCTGACCTTTTTTAAATTTAATTAACACAAAATATTACAATAAGTTGGGTTCCTAAAACTAATGGACACTAAGACAGCAAGTCCTCTATTGTCTACCAGTATTATGAGATGCTTTTTTGATTGTTATTGTGATTATACATATAAGTTAACTTTTAAATAATAGCATATGGGAAACATTAACACAACAGTATACATTATAACGTGTATAATATGTATAAAGTCCTACATATTTAGTATACAACTGAAACAGCATCCAGCAACCTATTTCTGAAAATAAATTAATAAATGAATCTTTTTATTCAACTTTCATTTAAGTTAAATCTCTTAAAATCAATGAGGTTATATCTTAATTTCTAAGGATGCACACAGTATGATTAAAACATTGTAAAAATACACAGGAATTGCTGCTAGTGTTTCTCAACCTAGATTTTTTTTGCTTTTCGAATCTAATAGTTTTGCATTCTTTTTAAGATACAATTAGTGAGTGGTACATTGTTTTATTGATTAACTACAAAGAACAAATTGATAGCAATCCTGTGTGCTTTTCATCAAACCCCATGTCAAGTACACATCTCAAAGGAAGTTATCTCTCTCTCGGTGCTGGAATAGTAATAAATGTCGTGACCACTGCAACATAATCTGAATGACTAACGTCCAATGACAACGGGTGGCACACATCAGCACAACATACATTTTAAAAAATGCGGTGAAACTGTGCAACAAAACTTGAGAGAGTCACATCTGGTTCTAGTTCATAATATTAATGATGTGTCATCTTAATGACATGTAATTATATGGCCTAGAGTTAAAGTTATGTGTGCATGGCAGCAGTAAATATAGAACAATGCTAATGATGCTGTCGTACTCCAGTATAAGCCAGATTCCAGGCTTTTCTCCGGCTGATGGGATGATCCGGGTGGAAACTGACCTGGAGCCAGAGCTCTTTGGTTGTTTTGACTCAGTGGGACGTGACGCTTCGAAAACCATGAGCCTGCTTAACGGGAAAATCCTTGTATTGGGAAAGAAACTGAGCTCTTTATAAATAACGCCAAACTATCAGTTGTTTATTTATATGGTGGAGATTTTTATGCTTATTTAATATTGATGTATTCACAGTTATGGACACATGACTGGAAACTGCTGTAGGCCAGGAATGTGAAGTCCAGATGGCAGCATTTCGGTTGCACGGTAAGAACGTAACACCGTAGTGCAGGGGTCTTCAAAGTTTTTCAGGCCAAGGTCCTCCAAACTGATGGCGAGATGGAGCAGGGACGCCCTACGGAGTTTGGTCCGCCATCTTTTATTTTTGAGCTTCGTGCTCGTTAGACGTGAGCATGAACGCGATCTGATTGGCTGGTGCCTGCGCTTTGGTATTTGCATGAAAGATGCTGTGAATGAACCGGTGCCCAGCTTGAGAGAGCAGCTGTGGGAAGCTGAATGTGTGTGTTGCGGACTGAAGGATAACGTTTCAATTTATCCGTTCACTACAATATGTTGGATTCATGCTAATATATATTTAAAGATAATAAGTGCAATTCTGATTCTGAAGACATTTCAATTTGTGGAAAAAAAATTAAAACAATTAATGAAATATTTAGATTTATTTAAATATTAAATAATTGTCTTATCAACCAAAAATTCTGCGACCCCCCCCTGCAGTACCTCCGCAGACTCCCTGTTGAAGACCTCTGCCGGTAGTTAATTGTTTCACAGCTTACCCTGAGGAAATATGTAGTTAAATCATTACATTCATCCTTTCTCATAATCTGGGAGTAGTTTGATTTGTTACTGTGACGTTTTTATTTGTTTCTTTCCAGAGACGTGACATTTAATGCCTTTATTGGATCGCACCAGTTGAGCGATGACAGGAAACGAGTGGGAGAGAGAGCTGCACCAATGGCTCCTTGTCGGCATCTTGATCCCTCAGCCGCCGAGGGGAGGGGACTTCCTGTTTATAGCACGAGCGTAAGTAACTTACTAAAAAGCTGTTGGTGTATAACCGGGTGCTCGTTGTGTCGACGCACTCGTTTCAATTCATGGTTCTAAAAGGCTTGCGTGTGTTGCAGAGTAATTCACCGCCAGAACAACAGGCGGAGTGACGTGTTTTGTTGAAGACGACCTAGAGAGTCACGTCTGTTTATTTATTTGTTTATTTATTTATTATAGACTTTATTGCCCTGTGCATTGCCACTGCTGCTTTTCATCGCGGACACATTTGTCCCGTATTTTCCTCCAACTTTGTGCACATCTCCCTCCGTGAATCCAACCCGCTTATACAACCCGCCAATGACGGCTTGTATAAGCGGTCATATTTACGCATTTCTTCCGACAAAAGTTCTTAAATCTGATCCGTTCTCTTGTAAACATTCTCCGTTTTAATAATGGCGGTATCGGGCTATGAAAGCGGAAATGTGAGACTCCGTAAAGGAGGTAGTTAGCAGACCAATCACAGCCGTGTGCGCTGCGGGAGGCTTGCGTCGGAAGTGACGCAAGCCTAGAAAAATGGGTCGACACACGCAAGGACGCAAGGAGGTGTGAAAAGGCACGAAAGGGACACGCAAGGGGGTCTTGCATCTGCGTCGCTCTGAAAACGCAGAAGCATAAACCAGGCTTTAGTTGTGATCTTCCCAGATCCGAACAGTTTGGGTGTTTGTGGCGAAATCGTTGATGCCTCAAAATTCAGTTTTGATTCAATGCTTTAAATGTAGTTTCTCGTCAGTAAGTGGCATCGCTTGCCAGGGAGGCTGATTAAACATCCCGGTGTTGTCAGTAGAAGACGGCACTTTGAGCAGCCTGGTCTCATTTACTGTTGGTACCAATAAAGGTCCTTTATTTGAATGTAGCCCAAGAGCCATTTCAAGTAACTTGTGATTCGTCTCTAATTTATGGCTCCTTTCGGAAAACTGGTCCCCGTTTAGTTTATGGATCACAACTCCTTGTTTGAATAATTCATAGGCGATGTCATGTAAATGATGATCTGGGTAAGTCAACCTGAGGAATAATGTAGACTAAATTACAGCAGGATCCCAGGACACTGGACACAGCCCCCCCCCTCCCTCGGTCAGCCTTCCTTCTTTATGTATCGTCACGCTCCGCTCTGTCTCGCTATCATCCGTTTCAACTGTTCACTATTTCTCTACCCTCCACCCCCCATATGTCTCTCTACCTGACCCGCTTTCTCCCTCCCCTCCTCCCCCTTTCTTCCCCTTGCAAGCATTAACACACCTTTTCCCGCGTGGACTTGAGCTGAATGCTCGGCTGATTCATGTGGAGCACTGAGTTCAGCCACAGTGACTGCTGCAGTAATTACACCCCCCCACCCCCCCCCCCACACACACACACTTTCACACCTCCCCCATTACCTCCCACACTACATGCATCCCTATAGGAGCGCCTCCTCCTGATGGTCCGGAGCGTATTGCAGAGCGTATTGATACTTGATTTGATTCTATCGGAGAAACACCTTGAGGAGTCAAACCTGAAGCAATGGTTTGTTGTCTTGTCATCGTCTCTTTGTACGTCAGTGTTCCCACTCATTCTTTTTGCCAAAAATATAACGTTTCCAATCCTCAACTCTTGAAATATTTAGAGTTTGGTGCGTCACGTTAGACAGTCGGTGTTAATTCTCCAGTTTGGTGCCGTCTATCAATTGCAGAAGAAGAAGCTGTAAAGTAATGAGGAAGTTTATTGTCATACTAAACTGTATATAAGGAAAAATAGTCAATAGACTGAGTGTATCAAGTGAAATAATGGGAATAACATTTGATTTTGACTTAGTTACTAGATCTCTCTCTCTCTCCTCATACTGCGAGTTGAGGTGGTATTGAGACATATATTTATCTATCCTACATAGGTCATCCTGCTCGACCTCCTGGTCTCTCTTTCCACCAGTTGCAATATTTTATATATTATTTTATAATATTATATTTTTGTTGTTTGTTGTCTTTATTAACTCCATCTCCCTTTCATTCCCCATGAAGCTTGCTCCATGACTCGTATGACATTTAATAATGTAACACGACTGCCTCTCTCCATCTCAACGGATTCTGTGCCAACTGGAGGGTTTTTAGTCTCGGATCAAAGAAATCTGTCAAAAACACACAAATAAGAAACATTATCCTACACAAAATTAGATTTATTTGTTCAGATATTCCTGTTTTTAAATTTTTTTTATTGACATTACTGGATGCTTTTCCCCATCTGGTCCATTATAATGAGGCAAATGAATTGGGGGGAATATCTGGCAAATTGTTTAACACATTTAGTTTGTATTGTATTGTGCTACAACATAAAGGGTCTAATGACAATTATTTATAAATGAGCTAGTTGATGGTCGTTTTGCAGTTAGCTGAAGCCCACATCATTTGTAGGCTTACTTTAATAACTCAACTTGAATATTGCTGATTTGTTCCAAAGATTAATTTGTGCTGCATTTGTTTACTAGGAGAAGAAATACAAATTAATCTTCTACATGATTGATTGGGCCGATCTTATCTTCAATATTGAAGGAAGATATCATCAGCAGACAGACGAGCAGCTCCTTTTTCTCTTTGGTTTCTTTTTAATATAACACTTCAACCCAGTGGAATATCAATATATTGATATATATAAGTCAGTATATTCTAAGAGCCTATCCAACATCAGATGATCTATGGTTGTGGGTTGCACGAGACGCCGTTACGTTCGATTCTAAATGCAATGTGAATAACCATAACTGCAACACTTATCCATAACCGCAGCACTTGCCCTGTCCCCGGTGGGACGGTGGACGAGAGCATAGGGGGGGCCAAGGGGGGGACGTATGCATTCAAGGCATCGATCCGATGCAGCATGATGGAGAGGAGGGGTCGACTGTTGGAGTGGAAGACGTGCCGCTGAACCGAGACACGTGGAATTAGCCGACAACGAGCGGCCTGTCCATCCGCCCGTCCATCTTCATCACGCGGCCTCGCCGCCCCGCATCCGGGGACCCATTAGGGAATCGGGCCCTCGTCGTTTTTCTCCGCTCCGGTGATGAGTCACTCCCACAAAGTTGCTTATCGATCGGGGCGCCGTGCGTCAGCGCCCGCTAAGTGGCCCCTCCCGCCCGCCTGTGTGACGGTCTCTGAGACCGGCCGAGTGGTCTCGTTATTACGGCGTCAGCGAAAAGAGGCGTGCGATGTGGGATCGGAGGTTTTAGGGTGTGACAATTGGGGGGGAAGGGGCATCATTTATTATGTGTGTCTCTGCTCAGTCGCACTTTGTGCCATTTGCATCGTTTCCTCCAGAGATTAGTCATCTGTTTGAGAGGCGAGGAGCAGTCTGCGGCTGCACTGTTGTGACCGCTGTTTGAAGCTGCGTGTGTCCGCAGGTGTTATTTAAAGATGTCCCAGGCTACTCAGGGCTCTAAACTAACAATTAAAAGGTAAAACATGCCCGTCTAATTTTTTCTGTAAAATAAAATGTGATATGAAATACTAAACGCTTAACAATGGCAATGTGAAAATTAAAACATAAACTGCGGTACGATTGTCTAACTGTATATCTAATGGAAGATTATTTAAGGGTTTTGTATCATTCTGTTTGCTGCTGCAGTGGTGTTCCTGTATATTGAAAATTGAACGTTGACATTTTTGACCCGGAGAACTTAAATAGGTTTTGCTGCTGTTACTGTTCACAGAACTTTTGCTGTTCACCAGCAAAAGATTCCCGTGTCAGTCACACTGCTTCAATTCTTTCTTCTTTTGTAACTTTCGTCCGGTTTGGTTTGGCAGTGCTCACAGAGCAAAGATACAGCTGTGCCTCCAAACTGCTGTATGGATGATGCCCTTTTGCTTCACTCATGTAGTTTGGTGACTGCGTTTTGCAGGAGGATAGTTTACCCCTTTTTCCTGGCAATGCTTTTTTTTTTATCCCCCCATTAAAGAATGTAGAAGGTTTCCAGAAGTGCACTATTCGTATGAAACGAGCTGCGGCGCCTTTTACTCTTTCAGACCATTACAGATGTGCCGCGGCAGGTGTGAGTTTTATAATGTGTCCTTTGAGGAAAAAGCAGGCGGAGGAGTGGCGTTCTCCAATAACACGGTTGTGGCTTCAAAGTTCACTGAGAAATATTGGAGGCTTCAGAGGCTCCTACGACCACGAGCTGCCTCACACTCCTCACACCTGGACTAATATTGTTGTTGAAGTCTGGCATTTAATATCACTTGTGTATTGTCATGCTCGAGCTCTGTCTTAAATACTAGATATAGAAAAAGCTTTTTCTTGTATTAGGAAGAATATCTTCCACGGTAAAATAATTAAACTGACTCCTGAGATTCCAGAAGGATATCGAATAATACACGTTAAGCACAGTACAGTTAAACAAAACATCCGAACCTGAAGTAGAATGAAAATATACATCCCCTGTCAGGGTAAAATGTGCTTGAGGAAATGAAGAGAGCATTCTTCTGAGAATGGGAAATAGATTTTTTATAATCCAAAACCAGGAAGAGAAAGAAACCGTTGAGGGCAAAAGAGACGTTTCAGCCAGCTGCATCTTCGCATGGGTGCAGAGTGAAGCCCTTTGATGGGGTTTGCATTTTTTAAGATGCTCTCAAAGAGGGGATGGGGGGGTTCTGGATTCCTCTCTAGGTTTTCATTAGTCAATGTATTAAACATCAGCCCAGGAGAGAAAATGTATTTTAAAGTTGAAGAGGTAGAGCCGTGTATGAATATACACACACACTCCCATGCGCTCCCTCTCTGTTCCGTACGTTGCATTTGTCATTCCCTTTCTGCGTCTGTCCTCGCGCGGCTCCGCCTGCCCTTTCCCTCCAGCTGTTGCTTTGATATTGGCTTCATGAAATCTGTGTATTAACACCACGGACGTATGAATATAACGTGCCGCCACGCAGAGAGTCTCTCTCATTCTCTTCTAATCTTTTTTTTGCCTCCTTTTCAATATTTAATCCTGTTACCCTCCACAGAATACAAGAACTTTTAGT